GTGTGCCATGCTATGTTTGTGTCTTTCACCTCTATTTACTAAGGTCAACCTGCCTAGAGTTGGGTATTTTTACCTTTGCAACTCTTCATCTGAGTAAGTGATCTAATTTTTTTCTCACGGTTTTACTGACTTCTAGTTCTTGACTTGAGACTGTTGAAGTGTTTCTGGTTTGCTAATTTGTGCTTAAACTTCCTGCCAGACTCAGCCAGGCCAGGCCATTTGAGCTGTCTGCCTTCATAGTCTGCCTCGTGTCTGCTCTTCCTGTCGGCTGTGTTTGGGAAGCTGACTTTCCTAGGAATCAGCCTCAGGAACTGAATTTTTTTCTTTTTCTTTTTTTTTGGCTAAGCTTGTTCTAACCAAAGGAACCACTGAAGAGGTGTATGAGTGGGCAAAACAGTTGAGAGAGAAGTACAGGGAATAGTAGGATTGCTGCTGTCTGGACTCCTGGGTTCAGGCTTCATGTTCCTGGGTAAATTCCACAAGCACACAGAAATGGAGTGTGGGAGAGTATGGTCAAATTCATGTGCTGGAATTCAGAGATTTAGAGTCTCGAGTTCTGGAGATTTCCCTCAGAGGTCTTGGGGTACATGGTCAGCAGGTCTGTGATCAAGGAGACCTTGTTCTTCACTCTGGCACTGAAAGGAAGGCCGGTGATTCTGGGGCCTTCAGCCCAGCTCTGAAAGGAATTTAGGTTTCTCGCTGCAATTGATTTTGGTGTGTTCAGTGATGATGAAAAATTAATGATTAATGAACCCATGAAAGTAACACAGCTCTTGTTGGTCAGAGTAGGAAAACAAACTGCAGAAAGGAAAGGCGCTCTTTTAAAGATGTCAAGAATGACTATATTAATGCAAAATGTGAAATATTAGTTTTTCCAAGAAATACAGGGCATAAGTACCTAAAGCAGTTCTCACCTCAGAAAATAATGTAATTTTTTTTTCCCTTGGTTGCTGGTGTTGTTCATCATCCTAGTCATACAATGACTGTCTCACTAAACCAGAACTTCTTCATTACAGTCATAGATATTTCTGCTTCCTACCTTATTGCTTCACCCATCATGCAAAAGTCATCATATACTACATTGCAGTCCAAATATTCCATCTCTAATGAGAATATATAAATTATTTTGATTTGTGGTTGTGTTAGATTCTGAAAGCTTGTCCTTTGCTCGTGCCACAGAAATCATCCTTACAGATATTGCATGCTACATACGGGTTAGAAGGTCAAATTTGGCAGTGCCTGCAGAACTTAATGATTCTCATCAGTGCTGAGAACCAAACCAAGAAAATCAGATACACAACAACCAACTCCAACCTAAGAAGATCAGCTACATCCAACTGCTAATACTGTATTGATAGACTTTTAATCCTAGAATGTAAAATACCCAACCCAAGTCAAAACAAAACTAAGAACCAACTACCACCCTAAATCTAGTGAGCTTTTATCTAATTTTTTTTCCTGGGATATAATGAATTAAACATAGTATGAAATGCAAAAAGGTTACATTGAGACATATAATATTTGAAGGTTTAATTCATTTTTCTAGTGTATAAGACACAAGGCTATTAAATTTTTAAAGCAGTGATCTCCTGAAGTCCCTACTTTATGAGGGCTTTCTTCATAAAGATAAATGGTTTCCTTGCCAAATCAAATGCAGATTTGAAACAAATTAAGTTAATGTTCAACGGTACAAGGTAGAATGGATGGGGGAACTGTTTTATTTTGCATTGTAATAACCATATACACCTAAATCAATAGCTGTGGAAAAAAAGGCAATAATATCGCGTAACTGCAGGAAATGAAATATAGTGAGATGAAGGGGGGAGCGGGTTGTGGAATGAAAGGATTTGTATTGGAATAATGACATTTCATTAAAAAGGGAAGGAGTGCTATTGAATATAAGTCCATACCAGTAAATTCTATTTCTTATAATAACACTTGAGATGAGTTAAAGTTGCCCAAGTATTGTGATAAAGTATCTTGCTGGATTCCTTTCTTATATTATGCTGTAATTTTACGTTAAAAGAAAAATTTGAAATGTTAAAGAGGCAGTGCGTGTTTTGTAAAGTGCTTTCTATTTCTCCTAATGTTTCATTTAACTTGTTATATTATCCTGGGCTCCTGCAATCTGAGCAGGAGGAAGTTTATCAGTTTCGTTCTTTGGTAAGCTCGTATTAAAGAAACAAAACAAAATGAGAATCTGGCAGTGGTGAAAGGCACTGGATTGAGAGTCCTGGGGATTAAAGCCTCCTATTTATCTGCAGCACAGGCTCAGGCTGGTGAGTAACAATGAGGACTGAGAGTGGATGAGTCTGTCCTCCCTGCACTACAGGGGATCAGATTCTCTGCTGGTGTAAATCAGCAGCAGCCAGTGCTGATACACTGATACACTGGGTAGCTGAACAAGCTGCAGTCTTCTTCAAAGCATCTTACAAAGAAATCCTGCTTTCTCTGAAGTCAGTGGCAAAGATCTCACAGATTTCAAGGAGGTGGGGATTTTAACTTTGTTTTTTCCGTGTTTCGCCCCTGAAGTCTCGCTGAAAGACTCTCCAGGTGGAAAGGAAAATATTCCACGTGCTTCACTTCAGTCATTTCCCTCGGTTTCTTCGTTCTTTTGAGGTTGTCCACAAAGGGACCAGTCCCACTGACTGGGCAACTGAGAGACATGTGGCTGATAGAAATTAAAGTGATGCCCTACCATTTGTGTCCCTTGTGTCAGATCAAGAGGAGTTCATTAGAGGGACAAATCCATTTTTGTTCGTTTGCAGAAAGAGCATCTGCTGAGATGGGAACTTGGGTGTCGGTGTGTGGGCACCTCTGTTTAACCTCTGCCAGGAGATCATCTGGGAAATCACTTGTATTGTTAAGAGTGTATAGGATTGTAAAGAAACTAAGATTGACAGTGTCATAATACTTTTATATACAAACACTGTGGAACGTGAATGTCATCTGTCTCAGAGCTTCTCTCTACTGTTCTCATACACTGTGTGCAGACTACATGAAACTGTTGTTACCCTTCTCAGCAGTTTTTGAACGGTGTCTTTCACCAAAAACATAAAAATGTTGTGGCAGCAGGGTCTGTGTGAGATAGCAATAGAGTTAGACCTATGTTTCTGTATTAATAAGGAGAGGTTTGGAACTTAACTGTAGTTTGTAGAGTTGCTCACTGTCGGGTACAGATCAAAGAGGAGCCCGTCATCGTGAGAACATGGTACCTCCTTGTATCATTCTTATGTCATACTATCAAGGCTCCTGTTTCTTGTGGTGTATTTCTGGCAATTACAGAAATCAAGCAATGCTTTGCTTATATTTCCTGGGTTAATTATGCAAGATTACTGTGGGCAGAAATGCATGATAATTCAGAGGATGCTTGGATAAGACTTGGCTTTTCATTTAGGGCCTTAGAAATTGTTGCATCTTATCTCCCCATTTTTGCGCAGAGCTTGTGACTAAAATTCCTTTGAGCAGACATCTGAACGTTCCCCTGTGCACAGTTAAAGGATGAAACTTGTCCATGTGCACACAGCTCAGCATCCTCATGTCCCCAGTACCATTTACATCTGTGCTCGTTCCTCCTCGTACCCTGCACAGCCAATGAGCCATCCCTTTGTGGTGAGCCAGTGGGGGAACTTGCTTCGGATTATTTTGGTAGTCATAATGAGCTATGTGCTTGACTTGTTGGTTCATTTGTTTTAATAAGGATGGGTAAAGCCTTCTCAAGCAAATTTCAAACTTCATTCCTATGAGCATTCTAAAGATGTGCATAACTGTACTTGGGGTTGTTTCAGTTCCTTAGCCTGCTTTAAAAGAAGATCCAAAGAGGAGCTTGCTGTATATTGTAAAATCTGTACCCACCTCTACCAGCAGGAATTGATGCTGTATTGCTGAATGATGCAGGGTTCATAAGGGTTCATCATAAGGTACCTCACCTGAGCACCTCACAGGCTGCACTTTTTGTGCAAAAAGTGTCTGTTTCAGGAACATTATTTATAGTCTCTCCTTTTGTACATTCATCAGCTAAGGTGTCACTAGACTTTTGCCAAGGGGCCAGGAGTATCTGGTAACATCTGAGAGTTTGGCTGTGTCCCATTCAGGAAATGAGTGAAATGGGTGCTCAGTGGAATGAAATATTTTTTTCAAAATAAAAAAAGGCAACCAAGTATATCCAGGCTCTCATAAAAAATGCCAAAGGGAGTTTCGTTTTAGAATCTGTGCAGCTAACCTACCTCTGATTTGTGCATTGCTATCACATTTTCTGGTCTCTGTTTTTTCTGGATAGGACACTTGGGATGTGATCCTTTCAAATTACCTTTTAATTTTACTCCCCATGAAATTAATTATTGACAAGTCCTAGAATCTGAGCCTCTCTAACCAACTGTTCATGGATTTGTCATGTACACTTACCAGTAAAATTCACAAGTCACACTGTACTATGAACTGTATAAGTCGGTTGGAGAACAGAAAAAGTGCTGCTTGGTTTATCTAAATAATAAACACAGTTTTAATGGTAAACATTCACTCTGAACTTTCCAAGAACATCTTGTAGCATAAAAAAATTTACTGCAGAAATGCTCAGATAGTGTTTTTAGATAATGGTTAAATGTAAGAATTTCACTGTGTTGCAGGAACAGTAAAAAAAGATGAAATATATTGAATAAAGATTTTATTGTGAGTTATTTGCTCAGCTCTGTAGCACCATCAATTTTTTCTCCCTATATAAAAATAATGAAGTCAATAAATGTGTTTAGGTGACCTCTGAGACTTACAAAAAGGATGTTATGAGATGGGTGAATACTGGATGCAGTATTTCATTCAGATGCCGAACAGCTGTTGTGGTAGACAGTGCTGGCATCCTATTTTTCACCCTTGATGCTGATGCAAATCGTGTTTTGATTGTATATATAGTCTATCATATCGTAGGAATGTGAAAAAGACTACTGGCCTGTCAACCCTTCTGTCCCACCTGGCTGTGCCATTTTCTAACATGTGATTACACACAGGAAATCAGGGAGCTTGGTGACCAGTGTGGGAGCCTGCCCATGGATTGCCCAGCCATTCCTGACAACCAGCCTGGTGGCTGGATTGGGCTGCAGCCTCTTCCCCAAACCCCCTGGGCCATATTGTTGTCCTGATGATTTCAACAGGCATGTGACAGAGGTAAGAATGGTTACCTGTTTGTTTTTTCCCCTGGAAAAGTAAATTTTATTCCGACGCATTTATGAACATCTGGACTCTGTCCTGACCCTGTCACTGTGGGCTGTTAATTGTTCCATCTCCTTTCCAAATGAGTGGTCCCAGCTTGCTGCACATCACGTCAGAGAGTAGCAGAGATTTGTTGTGGATCTGGATTGCTTGTGTATGTTACAGAATGTCTCCCATGAATAACAAAATGGGAGGGGATGGCACTACGTGCTTCCCTCACATGCGTGGTGCTCCTGGGAAGTTGTCTGCCTTAGTACCTGTCTTGTCATCAGTCCTAAGTGTTCACAGAAACTATAGGAATATTTTTCAAGGAAATATACAAATTAGCACTTTAGGACTATTCCTTATACAGATTTAATATTTATACCCGTTGTGCCTTTTTCCTTTGCAGGATGATGAAAAAGAGAGGAGATATGCATTAATGTTAGCAATTAACATCATGAGGATTCTGTGTTAGCTTAACCACATTTTCTATATATTTTTTCTGAGTTCAGTATTTATTTTCTTTTCAGTCTGACAGCTATTCAAAAGGAGGTGCACACTTTGTCACTTACAGAATGACCTCTGTTGTAAATTGACTGAGTGTGTGTGATTTGCCCTGGAGCATCTTTTTTAAATCATTAGTATAAATCAGTCAATAGATTCGTTTTAGCGACATCTGAAAAATTGCAGTAGTTTGGAAAATGTTGCATGCTGTTATATGTTATTCCCTTTGAGTTCCAATGGTCTAAAACATGAGAAAATTATCCATTTTAAAAAGTAGATTACTAGCACTTTGATTAAGCAGCTTTTGTTTTAGAGGGCTGTATGCATTTATTCAGGAGACAGTTGACAATACCTGAAGTTTTCTGCTTATTTAAAAAGTACTTCCAAAGTATTTCTCCATAACTGCTCACGCTGAAAATAAGGCTAGAAAAGGATCCTTTTGACTTGCATATGTGTGACATCTTCCAAAACAAAGTTCCCACACTCTGGGATGTTCCAGCAGCTCTGTATGACATTTTCTCTATACGCTGATCCTCCGCAGTTGCTGAACTACCCTGGTGGTGACCTAAGACTCTTAATATGGGAAGCAAGGGAAGGATGCTGGTTGTAGGTAAGGGATGGAGCTGAAGGTGGTGTTGGCTACAGAGGGAACTTGCTTGGGAGTGAGGATTTGTTAGTCAAAAGACAAGTTCCAGTGTCCATTTTAGCCTGTTAATGAGTCACTCGTGACTGTCGGACTCCAGCGCCTGTTCAGCTTCTTGGGTGCAGTTAATCCATGGATGCTTCTTTGCACCAACCAGTTCTTTGCCACTTGCTGAATTCTTGCTCGTGGAGTCCAGCATTTTTTTAAGGGAGTAGGATATCATTTCAGCCTCTGCCTTTGTCAGATTTTGTGGTTGTGCAACTCTGTGTTTCTGTTTTCTTTTCAGAGTAAGTCTGCCCTTCATAACCACCGGGAGACTGACTCCAGTGAGGCTGACTGCCATGAGAAATGCTCTCAGAAGTACATCTAGGAGCCTTCATATTCATTTACTAGAGTTCTCTTGTTTGTTACTTGTGTGAATAATTAAAAATAGGGTTTTTTAGTAGTTTAGAAAATTTAATCAAATCTGAAAATACTCTTAGATCCTGAATTGGTACCAGCTTTGAAAATGCTGACCACAATACTTCCATCATCCCCAAGATGAACCTTGCCTGCCTTTCTAGCTGCACACAGAAAACAAGCTGTTTAGAGGAAAAAGCCAGGCATTTTATTTTTTTTTTTTTAAAGTCCTATAATTAAGCAATCATAATATCTCTTTAGATAAATACGTCTTGCATTTCCATTTTAACGGGCACTTCTGGCGTTTGTTTAACTTTATTTCTTTTTCACCCCATTTTAACATAACAGAAAACCTACAGCAGGCTTTCTGAGTGCCTCCACTGCTCCAGCCTGTCACAGCCTGTGAGCTGTTCATCAGAGCCCTCCAGACTCAGGCTGGCACTTCTCACTTAGGAGAAGTGGGTTTGAACCAAAAAAAGCCAACCATTTAGAAAGATGTGTTGTTTTGCCCGTCTCCAGACCAGAATCTATTAAAGCAATTAAAACTTAATTGTGATCAGGAATCATGTATGTTCATCTCAGGCCTGGGCTGTATAAAGTTCAGTGTTCCCCTGGGGTCAGAGCTCTGGGCTGGTTTTTTAACAAGAGCTCAGCCTGCACTGCCTCTTGTTGAGAACAACAGGGGTGCTTCTCGAGATTGAAAATGCCTTTGAAAATCCCATCATGTCACTTTATTTATTTATGTAGATTTGTGTGTGCACAAATATATACAACATGCCCAGAAACAAGCACGCACACATACATGACAGCTCTAGGGTCTGGATTTTCAAAGGAACCTAGGAGAATTCAGTGAGAGATGGGTGCCTAATTAAAATTCATATCCTTCCTGCCTTTGGCATAACTTAAGCCTACAGCTAAGTTAATACCAAAACATGACTAAAGGGCAGCGGGATAATTCAGTAAAACCCACAAGAAGGAAGCCAGGCAAATTAGCCTTCCTTTCACCAGCCTTACATTTTCACATTCTGATTTTCAAAGATGGAAGGAAAATTACGAATGAATGCCAAATCTCTTTAAAAGAGATTAGATGCCCTTAGGTGGGTTGTTTTAGATTGTCTGGGGTCAGGACCTCTCTCTGGTTGTGCGTTTGTATAGACAGCAAAAGCAGTCTGATTTTTGTTGGGACTCCACTGTATGGTTGCACTAGTGTATGAAAACCAGAGCCAGGCAATTGAGCACTTTTAGGTATCTGTAAAATCAGAGCAGAAACAGTGCATCTTCTCCCTTCAATATACTGAAAAACAAACAATCAAACAAACAGAACCCTTGCTTTAGGATTCTCCAGAATGTTGTTCCTTATCTACACATACAAAAAGAAAGTCCTGCATCTCAGATGATTCACCAAGCCAACAGTTTTTATGATACTGCACAATATAGTTTACATTCCAGCCTTGGTCTCAGGAGGGAGGAGGGCACCGAGTTCAGTGCCAAACATCTCTGCTTTCTCTATGCATATACTCCAGATAGCCCACCAGAGTAGAAAATGGAATGCATTCATGAGAAAGCATTTTACATCACCACGGATCTTGAAATCTTTGCTGCCCAGGACATATCCTCAACAGGTAGTTTGGCAAAACAATATAGAAGGTGATAATTTTTGTTCTCTGGAGACCACTGTGGGGAGGGAGGAATTTGAATGCCCCTCTTTCCCAGCCTGAGGTAGGTTTGCAAATCTAGAACAGAACTGTTTCTCCAGCTGCTGAATTTTAAAAGAAAGTGACTGCGGATACATTTTGCAAGAGATGCAATCTTTCTGTTTTCCTTAGGAAAGGTTTACAGGACTGGGAAAAATTTGTAGTTCACTTGTCCTACCCTGCAACTGTTGCTGCAGTTGTCTCACTTGTGGTCTCAGACGGTACTGACAGTGGAGAACAGATTTTTAATTAAAGGAGAAAACGTATTAACAAATACCTTACATCAAAGAAACTGGTCTCTAACCTGACTAGCCCGGGATGCTTGCCCCTGCTAGGCTCCTGGACAAACACACTTCACCACTGTGATCTTAAGAGGCTGAAGTATCTTTCAGACAAGCTCATTCCTTAGACTTAATTAAAACCTAGTTCGCTCCTTTATTCAATTTATGAGGCCTAGCCAGTAGGATTAAGCGATTACAGGCAAAAAGCCCCATTTGTGAAACACTCATAAGCTCAAGCTGCTAGACTGCTCAGTTGTACTCCATTAAATTAATAAGGAATGAATAGACTGATCCATTATGAATAAAGCTGTGGGGAGCCTCAGCATTGCCTCAGACTCTCTGCACACTCCTTAGAGAACATTTGTGCAAAATGATTATGTTCATATTCATTCAATTGGAATTCTATAAAAGTGGAATGCATAAATTACTCTAAAGATGGGGAGTTTATCTTAAACATTAACTATGTGTGTGAATTAATAAGACTATTATAAAACCATTAGCATTCAGTGTATTTACCTACGTATGCTGCATACCTAAACTAAATTCAACAATTGTTCCTAATTGCTATTCTTGTTGTGTGATCAAGCTGTGGTTCATTTTCCCTTGTAGTCATAATATTTATGAATTGCAGTTTTTTCTGTTAAAACTTCTCGATCCCCCTTTTCTCCTGCCCTGCTTTACACTTGCTCCTGTAGTTTTTCAGAATATAGTAAAATACTGGGCATTGGGAAGTGAGGGATGCTTACAGATGTGTTAAAATAAAACACTGGATATCATCTACAAGTATGCATGTTATCAACCAAACTTTTATCTTTTACAGGGTATTAGTTGAAGAAGGATGGCAGTGACTCCTGGGTGAGTGTCCCCTGAATCTGCTGCTGTTCTGCAGGACCCAGTAGAATCCCAGTTTCAAAATAGAAAGAATGCAAAATTCATCCACCAACCTTTGCCATGTTGTGAACATCCCCAGTCTGTTTCCTCTGGAAGAACTCCAAGTGACTTGAAAGGTAAAAAACAAACCCAAAAAAACAAAAAGAGGGGGTGGGTTGTAAAAAAAAAAAAAAATAGATCCCGGTTTTTAGAGGATTTGGCAAACAAGGGGTTAAAATGAATGAACATGGGTTGCTAAGGTTATAAAAGCAAGTGCTCAAGCAGTGAGTGGTAGGGGAATGCTGCAGGATGAGAGAAGGGCTCAGGGCTGAGCTACTGGGACAGACACTTTGAGCAGGCAACCTTTCCTCCTGCCCTGCATCTCCGTTTCTGTCCTTTGACACTTTCTGACAGGGCGACTAGAGCAGCAAACCCTGTGGGGTTATTGAGTTGATTCACCAGGGACTGGGCTGCAGCAAAAAGACTGCATTATTAGGGCTGATTCGATGTGATCTCAGTGAAGTGGCAAGGAGGGGGATCTCAGCATGGTGTTATTTGCAGAGCTGTTCCTGAGCAGAGCGAGGAAGTTCCGTGTTAACACAGGTTAGCTGGCACGTCTGACCTTCATTGTTCCCAGTGGAAACAGTGACAGTCTATTAGTCCTCCACAAGGGATATCACTGTCTCACAGCAGCTCTGAAAATCCCCCAGGACACTCCTGGAACAACAATAATTCTGCAAGAGTTCACACAACGTTAGAGCTCTGTGAAATGTTTGCAACAAATCTTGCTTGGATTGGAGAGGGGGATGTGGTAGGAAGGGGGAGAGGGATGGCTTTGAACTCAGCTGCATTTGAGAGGAGACACTAACCTTGCAGGCAAGTTAGACCAGGTGGGAGTTTTGCAACAGGAAGATTGTGCTAATTCTCTTGAAATGAAATAGCCAAATAGATAAAAGAAGGTGGAAATTAGTTTTTTAGCTTAATCTTGCTTCTGAAGTAGAATATCAACCTTCAAATCTGAATTTTAAAGAGAAAGACAAAGAATTTAAACTGTGAAACTCATAGGGGCTAAAAGCCAAAGAAACCAATTTTCAGCTGAACTCTTAGGAAATGGAGTGACAGAGTTTTAATACAGCTTATAGGAAGCAGTAGTTGAATCAAAGTACTATTGCCTTTGATACAAAAATAATGCTATGTATGGGTAAGTATGTCTGTAGATTTTTACACATTGAGTGGTTGCTGAAATCTTTTCATGGCTGTACTTACAGAATAAAAGGGTAGGAGTAAAGAGAGTCTTAGGTTGACTCCTGGATTTCTTAGAGCTGATCTTCTCCTCTCTGGTTACACTGTCCTTTCCAACACTTTGTACCCTTCAAATATTCCTGCACCCCTTGGCCTTTGGCACAACTGTGTGGTGTGTCCTGGCCTCAAATGAAACATTTGAGCCTGTTTGTGCTTGCAAGGGGACAAATGATGCCTGTACACAGATGATCTGACACAGGTGTCCAGGAGGACTCCAGGAAATCAGTAAAGGTGCAGCATGGGCTGTATTCAGGAGTAACCTCTACCTGCTGTTATGGAGGTTTTTGACTGCAAGGTGGATCTCAAAGCACAGAGTTACTTGATGTCATTAGGGCCCCTGGATGGCTTAATCCAGGCTTGATCGAAAGGATTAATAAATGAATTCTTGACAGAGCCTGCATGTGAAGTCTGTATCGGAGAAAGGCTTATTCTTTGGCCCAGCTCCAAGAAAAACTAATCATCATGAACTTCATGCAGATTTACAATTATTCTTCCCATAGAAAGGGTTAGGCCAGAGCTCTCTGGCAGGGGTGAAGAGCCTGCAGAAAAGGAGAAAGTCAAACATACACAGAACAAACATTGTATGTAGGCTTGTTTCCTTGATATCCTTCCCTTAGATTTTCTACATTTCCACTGAAAACTGATGTAGGAGTACTATCATGTATTAAACCTGATAGAATCGTTATGCTCCTCTCAACTCCAGGAGACAGAAATATCATAGTCTTATTTTTCCAAGGGAGATGATATCACGAAATAAAGTGATAAGAAAGAAAGCTACTGTGATAGTATGAAATATGTCCACTGGCTGCCTTCAGCACAGTAATCTTTTATGTTCAAACTATTACTCAAAGTAGAGATTATTGAAATGCTGTTCTTCTGTGGCACTCTCTTGGGTGATCTATGGAACCCTGTAGAAGTCAGTGAAAAGAATCTTATCATTTCTTCTTGTTCCTTAAAAAATGGCAATAAAATAATCTATCTATCACATTCCAGAACATATATATGCATGTGTTGGAAATACAGGATGATAGCAAGGGGTTTAAAAAGTGCTGTTTAATTATCAGATTTCTAATAAACTTTTAGAATATGTAGAAAAAAAGAAAAACCGCAACCTGCTTATTCAGGATTTTGGACTTTCTTTCTTTTTTTTATTAAAAGCTACTTGAAAACATTTTGTGATCTATTTCCAACACTGCATTTGAAGGTATGCTTGAATTTGTTAGGTTATCTCCTACTCGTAGGATTTTGTTAAACAAGGTTGTGGAACAGTCATTAAAATGAAGACCAAAGCCCTGTCCCAGAGCTTTTCCTTGGTCTTGAAATTGCTTTTTGCTTTTTCTTTTTAATGCTACATTTTTCACATTAAAACATTACTTTCCTGCCTCTTACTCATGAAAAAAAGGACATAATGAGGGTACAGAGATAATACAGAGGCTGTAGAATTCTTTCATTTTATAAGGCAACAGACCAATGGTCTGTAAGATCCAGTATCTATCCCAAAAGAAAATTAAAATCACTTGGTCAGCCAGGCAGTGCAAGATGACCACAATTCTTCTGTGATCACTGCACATGATTAGTGTATTCCTAGAACCACGGGGACTGTTAATCCTTGTGACTTAAGCTAAATAGTCTAGCTACAGATGTTACTACTTTGTAGATTCTGTGTTATTTGGATCTCTTTGTGTGTGACATGGTTTATGAGCTGCATGATGTGTGATGTGTGAATGGGTGTACAAGGACAGGGGAGTGCCTCCCACTTGTGGGGCTGTGTAAAGTCAGAGTTCATTTTTGTGCCTGTGTGCTAAGGGTGAGCGTAAATCTCCTTAAGTCAGGAGAATTAGGAATCTGCTTGAATGTCCCTGCTTAGAGGCAAAACAACGTGTGTGGTTAAAGCACAGAGGCAGCTGATTTTGTATTACTGCCAGTGGTACTCCAGGTTATTGGAAGATGCCTTGGTTCATGCCTGTGTGCCCATTCTGAGGGCTCTTTCTCCTGCAAAAACCTTTGTCCCAATGGTGATGTCTGCCATAGCATTCTATATCATCCAGAGTATCTGCAAGAGTGTGGAGGAATAACCAGTGAAGGAGTTATTATTCAAGGAGATATTATTCAAGGTAATAACTTGGCTGCTCAGTAATTGCCAGAGGAGGAGAGTGGACACCTCTCAAGGCAAGACTACCAGGACTCTCAGCCTAGTGTTCAGTGGGATACCATGGTGATGTATCTGTGCTTTTGCACTGCTTGGGTCTCCTCACCCAAGCAGTTCATCCCTACACTGACAACTGTGGCAGGTCTTCAGGTCTTGGGTGTGTTTAATTGAAAGGGAAAATGGCAATTTAACTCCTGTTCCTATGTCATAGGCAGCAAATGCTTCATGCTAGTGTTGGTGATCCCAGCCTGGGTATCATTTCTCTAATGCGATCTAGTCTCAACTTTTTGGAAGACAGATTTGATAGATGATAACAGCAGATATTGTGAACAATACCCTCACTAGTATAAAAGTTCTGGGATTTTCCTGTGTTATACTAATATGTATGGATTTTGTATGCTCAGACCCTTTGTTTCTGCCATGCCATGGAAACAGAGGAGCCACTGTATGTGGAACTGAGGAGTCATTTCCTCCTATACTCAGCACAGGTATTTATTTGACAGTTTGTCATAGAAAATGGAGCACGGTGATGTTTCTATTGTTGAGATAAAAGATAGAGACCTGTTTATTCTGTCACCTTCTATAACCTTTTTGGGCAGTATGGATCACTTGCCTTTCTTAAGATGCTTTGATAATACATTCCTTTCCACTTCCTCAAAGAGATTCCTTCCTCGTCTCAGTGCAGCAACAGGTAATGATATGGACACACTTATTAGACTTGTCTTTAGATGTTTTGCATTCCAGTGTTCACATATCATATAAAGATCTTCCCCCTTGAAAACAAGTGAAACTCCAAGGAATAGCACCACCCACACTTAAACATCACAGGAGTCCCAAGGAGGAGACTTCAGTAATAATGTTTACTTTCTTGGATGTATACATTTAACTGTATTATTAGTCTGGGAAACTATGGGATGCACAGAGACTCAAACCTGGTGGAATGAGCAGCCCTCCTCAATTACAGTCCTCATGAGTGCAGGCTGGAGCTGAGGTAGAAGAAGAGGTATTAAATGTGTGAGGAGCCAGTATGTTCCAGGAGCTGGCACCCTTTTTCTCTGTCATATTCACTGTGGTGGTTGCTGAGATACAAATCAGTGGGAATCCTTCTAAAGTGGGGCTTGAGTGGGTCTTCTAATAAATTGACTACTCTCTTCCAAAATAATTCCCATTAAAGCATAATGCTGCCAAGAGGGGGATAAAGGTCACCTTGGTAATAAATGATAGCTATGTGACAGTCTAGGAAGAAGTTCTAAGGTTTTCCAAAGTTTGAATAGGGATAAGTGGCCTGTTAGGTAATTTTCCATTTCTTGTAATATCTGGCCTTTTTTTGGCCAATTTGCCCACTCCTTACATGCTCTATTTTGGCCAGTTTCCCTAGAAGTCTGCTAGAAACCCAGCATGTAGTAAAGGCCTGCAAAGCAGATGACCATATAGCAATGACTTTCCAGTTTCCATTTCATCTGGTTCTGACTTCCCCTGGTACAAGCAGGATTGTACTGGGTACCCAGCATGTCACGCCAGTCCCAGTGTGCTGATGTTCTGTTGTCCTGTGGCTGTATCATGAATTAAGGGTTGAAGCCACACTGTCTCTGCTGGTCTGCAAGCATGTAATTCCAATGAGCAGTATCCCCCACAGGGTAATAAACTCTTTAATAACAGTAATGTAGCAACCACAATAATGAAAAA